CGGAACTGTTGGTGGGTGCGAACCTGCGAAAGGGTTAAATCACCGGTGCGGGTGCAGCAACCTGCGTTCAACGTTTTCAAAACGCAAGATCACGAGTCAGTGGGACCGATTTAATAGAAGGCGTTTTCATTTTGCAAAAGGTTCATCTTGCTGCGAGCATTCCTTTCCCTTGCCTTCCTGCATGCGGATGGCAAACAGAAAGCGGGAGCGGTTGAGTCGGAAAGCTGTTTTCCTGTTTTCTGCCAGCTGCCGTGCAGTCTCCTGAAAGGTCTGGCTGCGTGGTGATTCCTGTAGTGAACAGCTGGTGACCTGGTTTGATTTTTCTCCCTTTAAAGCTCCTGGAAGACTCCAGTGAGAATTGGAGTGTGACAAGTTAGCAGAGCAAAGTCGTTGTTGTTTCCATTCCATGGATCCCTTGGGTGCTCCTTCCCAGTTTGTGGACGTTGACAGTCTGCCAGGCTGGACTGATGCCTATGAGGATAAGCAGCTGGGCTCTCGCCAAAATCCTGTCGAGAAAGCTCGAGTTGATGTGCGATCACCTTTTCCATACAGGAAAGACATCAATGCAAAAATAGTCTTATGGTAAGTTCCGTGTGGCTCTGGTGTGTTTGGCGTCGCGTCTCCGTTCACCGCAGGGTCTGGTTGCCTCGTGTAGTGATCTCCTGGAGAACAAAGCCTTTAAACTCCCTTTTCTTAAATCAAACATTACCCATCTGGGAAGAAAATAATTGGTTTGTTCGCTGTAAACCTGCAAGTCTTGAGATTTTGCTCCACCATAGGTTATAAATTGCAGATCCATAAGCATTGCTTGATGGAGCAGACTCGAGCACTTCTGTCATACTGTGTGCTTATTATCAAAACCTAATTGGGTACTTCAATACAAATTTTTAATTTTTTAAAAACATACTTGCTGTCTCCTAGCTTTTTTCGTTCTTTGCTGGCTTTATTCTACTTTCACTTTTCTGTTTTAGGCCAGTGTTTTTCCTTCATGTGGCTCTCGTGGCTTGCTTTGGGCTACTTCTTTTTCCTTCTCTCCTCCCTCTCCGTTCCGTGTTCTGTCTCCATGGTTTTCTGCCAAATCTACTGATGAAGTACAGTGTGCTGAGCTGAACTCACTCCATCAGTTTTTCTCTCCTGTAACTCAGATACTCGAACATGCTCTCTAGATGAGTAACTCTTTGTTAATCAGTGTGAAGAGAGAAGGATTTCTCAGGGATGCAGATTCAGGGATCAGCCTGAACCTCGTTCTGGTTAATACATGCAGGAAATGGGACTGTTCATGGATTTCCTGAACGTGATTAAGGAAAGAGAAAAGTAAAAGGTTAAACATCTCTTACAACTTGAGCTTGGGTGCAATAAATGTGGGTGATTACAACTGTTATTTGAATTTCTCCCTGCGCGTGGGAATCTTTATTTCCCTTCCTGTGCTCTTTGATCTCTAATGGCTGCTGCTGTGGCAAAAAGCAGGTCAGGGCTGCGCTGCCACATTGTCTGTTGTGTCCCTGCATTGTTTGTCTTCTGCCTGTCTGATCCCTGAGCAGTGGAATGAACACGATCAAATTGCAGGCTCACAATTCTGGAACAAAAGCAATGACAACTTGTCTGGCCGCAGGGTCGCTTTCGATCCTCAGTGGTCTGAGGAGGAACAGCAGGAGTGAGGTGCCCTGAAGAGTGTGTATGCAGACCCAAGAAAGCACATTGGGGAAAAAACGTTGTAGTTTTAAAAGTAATACACCACAAGGACTGCCCTCTTATCCCCACGAGAGAACACGTGTTGTTTTGGCACACGCTGCGCTCTGTCCGCTGCGCACCTTCTGCTGTTGAACGTCCCTGCATCCACCTACAGCACCTTTTCTACAGCATCGCTGAGTTGCTGCTGAGGCTGGGAGTTTTTAGGGAAATAACGGGCTGCATGCGATCTCTCTTCCTTAGCTAGAGGCAAAGGATGATCCTGCATGGTGAGCACGTCAGGGAACGCTATGCTCTGTAGGCACCAGAGTACTGGTAATGCTTTTCCTTTAACTTGGCGTTTCCTTGCTTGTCAGCACTTCTTTGAGAATATCCTGCTTACTCTTATATTTAGCCTGCAATAAACTGTTTCCTTGTTTCCTCAGGAAAGGAGATGTAGCATTACTGAACTGCACAGCCATAGTAAATACCAGTAATGAGTCCCTCACTGATAAGAATCCAGTATCTGAAAGTATATTCATGCACGCTGGGCCTGATCTGCGGGACGAACTCCAGAAGCTCAAAGGTAAGTGGCTGGAGATGGCTTTATCTTGTTGAAATCTGCTGTCCTCGCATAGTACAAAGCAGCAGGATTTGGGCATAAACTAAAATCCAAGTACAGCTTGTTTTCCCTGCCTGCAGTGTGGTGTTAGTGTGAGATAAATGGAGTAAACGTGCCAGATCGCTTTTTGCTGCTCACGTTAGAGTGCTGAATCCGTGGCAGGTATTCGAGGTGCTGAGCCCTTACTTTGTGATACAAGAATTCCCGTTGTTGTCTGAAGCCACTTCGGAGCAGTTCGCTTATCGGAGTTTTTCCTCAAGGGACCAGCCTTGTACATCTTGGGATCCTGCTCCCATCCTGTTCAGTGTGTGTACGCTGTGGAGGACAGGAACTGAAGCTCACCAGTGCAGAAATTAAGTGGATTCTGATGTACTGTGTGTCATCTTTCAGGATATTAATACACACACAGTCTTTCAGGAAAGTATGGCAATAATGGAATGATAAACCACTGCGTGTCAAAATCAAGTCTTAGTGACTGCTGAAATTTTTCAGTTCATTTGTCTCTTCTGCACAACAAATTACTTTCTAGTAAAGTTACAAGACCAACGTGTTCTTGTTGCAGTTTGATAAAGACCTTCTGTCACAGCAGTGCGTAGTAGTTTTCCAACTCCAGTGAGACTTCTCCACTGCACACTTTACATGGAGGATTCAGACTTTCAATTTTAAACTTGGAGAGAAGCTGTTCTGTGTTTGAAATCGCATTAGATAATGAATAAGATCTTGACTTTGTTCCCAGCTTTGCCACAGACCTTGACCTTGTGCAGCTCACTCTACTAGCTCCCCTCACCCTGTATCTTCAACTAGGAGTAATGCTTGCTGCTTATTTTAGTTTTAGAAGTTTTGTAGCGATCTCCAGGCAGAAAGCATTTGGAAAGTACTCAGTGTGATGTACGTGTAGTCAAAGATTACTGATGCTACCTCTGCTTGTCTGAATGTATTAGTTTCTCTACTGAATTCACAACTATCCCTCAGAAAAACAAGACAGTTTTTCCTACAGGCCTTTTCTTGCTCTTTTCAAGTTGTGTGACTTGGCTGGACCATGGAGGAAGAATAGTGACTTGATATCTGACATACTGTTTCAGTTCTAGCTTCTGCATGTTCCATATTGTGCTTACTTAGTTGCTCTCCTGAGCTGAGGTGTCCCAGAGGAGGTGCAGTGATTCACAAAGGGATGCTTAGTTTTAGTATGCTGTTACGTTCCTTCTGATCAACTCGGAAGAAACAAGGTGGAGGTCTTATAGAAGCTAATGATGTGATTTATCGGATCAAAAACTCTACAAGATGTTGGCTTAAAAGCAACATGGTGTTGCTGTTTAAGTTTTAGTGTGAAATGTTGTCAGCCTGGAGTGTCTCTTGCCATAACATACACGTTCATGCATGCTGATACCTGCCTGAGCACCTTGAGGAGCAGAGTGGGGCGGGAGGGATGAGTGCTCCTGTTCAGTGGGCAGCTTCGTGATTGATTTAAGCCAGGCTGTGCAGTGCTGCTGCCAGAAGGGTGCCCGCGGCCGCCTGGTCACGTCTCGTTTCTTTTTGTGGGCACTAGCAACCTGTAAGATCAGGCTAAAGCTAATCCAGGGAAAATACTAGTTTTCAGCTGGATCAGAAAGCTGAAGTGCAGCTGTACGAGCAGAAGGAAGAAGGTGGAAAATGCTTGTCTTTGAGGGTAGGGAAGGAGAAAGACGAGAAGCACTTCCTCAGCTGTCCAGAGCTGGAGCAGACTAGGTTTGGGTGACCACGGGGAGAGTTAGACTTTTCTTCCAGGTGCCGAATTAAAAGCAGATTTCAAACACAGTAGCTGATCTCGGGCTTGTCGTTATCTGAAATGCATTGGCAAACTGAAGGAAATGGCGAGGTCTGTGGGTGTCATCAAGGGTTCTGGCAAACTGATTTCCCTTGGAAAAAACTGCAGGAATGAAGCCTGAGTAACCTGCAGGGATAGCCAAAGAGCAGTCAAAACCGAGAAGAGGTGAAGATGTAAAGTATGCTGGCGTGGAGTAAACGATCCCGGAGTTTGTAACTGGAGGGCGTTGTAAGCAGAACAGTTCAGTGTGTTGGCTGAACTTCCTTGCCTTGAGACTAGGTACCCGGTCTGTCGAGGAAGTGTGATCTCCATGAGAATCCTACTTCTGCCTTGTGGGCACGAAGAAGCTTGCAAAGCACAGAGAGCTGCTTTGTTCTGGGAGCACAGATGAAACAAATGTTTGATCTGCTCATTTTTAATAGCATTGCCAACAACTGGTGGGTTTGATTAAGAAGACCTTTATCCAAAAAGCAATCTCCTCAAACGAGTTAAATTTGGCAGAACTCTACGACTGGTTATAAAGCATGTTTGTGCATCAGTTCTCTGCACATTGTTAATTCATTTCTCCCTTTGGTTCTGTATGTAGCCTAGGAAGCACTACAGTTAACACAGCATTTCTAGCAATTTCCGGGGTGTTCTTGGATGCAGGGCTTTAAAATTGAGAGGAATGAGCACAGCTGTCACCTCTTCAACCCGACTAAGGGATCCTCAGCAGCTGTTATGACATAGACACCAAATGTTAAAGGTAGAATGCTAAAACACTGAGCTCGTGCACGAGTAGAGTTGTCTGACTGGAGGAGGTCAAGGGCTTGAATACTTCTGGCTTTCTCGCCGCGACGTTGGCGTTTATCCTTGCATTGTTTTTTCAGGGTGCAGGACAGGCGAGGCTAAACTCACCAAGGGGTTTAACCTGGCCGCGCGTTTCATCATTCACACGGTGGGACCCAAATACAAAAGCCGGTATCGCACCGCGGCCGAGAGCTCCCTGTACAGCTGTTACCGCAACGTTCTGCAGCTCGCCAAGTACGTACACCGCCGCCACGTGAGGGGTTGTCCCCACAGTCAGTCCACGCACGGGCCCGGTGGCTCTGAGTATCTTCTCATGCGCTCTGAGTTTGGTGAAGAGCGTGAGAACGGTAATGGCTCCGTGGGATGCTTTGTCTCTTGTTATCTGTGCTGCGGTGTAGACGATGTGCAGAGAGATCTGAGCGGGTTCCAGGCCTGAAGCACTGTCAGTGCTGAGGAGCAGCAGCACTGGC